CACACACACCGTCCTGCTGCTGTAAATATTGATGAAAATAATAATGACATAACTAGTCCCCAACAGATGCACTATTCACTCCTTTTTGAGCAGTGTTTGCTCTAACCCACAACTTTTAGCCCTTTTAAAGATGAAAGTACATATTTGGGACCTGTTTAAAGATTAATCTCTTCACTAGGAACCAATGAGGGTAGGGGGAGTTATAAAGTATTGAGAGACGGATTAATGTATGGTTGGTTTTAATGAAAATATTTCCAGTTGAGCATTTTAATGAACACAAAAAGTGACTTGCTTTGTTTCTTGCTGTTCAGCAGCTGCAGGGTATCAAATACCCCTAACTTTTCAAATGGATGAATGAAAACATGAATGAGTGGAGGAGGACAAGAGGAGCAGGAGGAGGCATTGCCAGCCCTTAAAAGGGGGATCAAGGCCATCCGTGTGTCTGTCAGTATGCTGGAAGAGCCGAGGGAAACACTGAGAGGATAGAAACCAGTGGGACAAACGAACTCTTGGCTGAGACTGGTTGTACTGCTTTTTTCGGGGGTTGCGGTCGGAGGGGGAAGGGGGTGAAACAACACACAGGTCCCACCCCTTCTTTACTCATATTCACCTGCCCATCCACTGAGAGGCTCAACTTGCAAAAAAAACATTAAAGTGCACAAAATGGACTAAATTTCAGTTATTCTGTGATTTACACGTGTGATTACATAAAAAAAAAAATCAACTATCAACCTGCTAACGTTCGAGAGCTACTTCCGCTGCTTATGGTGTTCTTGATTATAAATAAATATGTAAACAACTTCGGAGACAAACAGAACAGAACAGAAGTGTATTTAGGCCTATAACAGATGAGACAGGGGAATGCTTGAGAATGGACTGAGTAAAGAGGATCAGAGGTGAATGTGAAAGAGTCTGTGAATGGGAGCGAGGCTGCTTCTTGTCAATAAATGTCAGTGTCTGTCTGTGTGTTATTGTCTTAAATGTTTGTTTTGCCTTTAGCTTTGCTTTAGAGGGTCTGAGGATGAGAGGGATGGAGGAGGGAGAAGTGATTGATGACTGAATTACCCATAAATTATAACAGAAAACTAGTCCCTGATTAAAACTTGAGAGACTGACATGGAAAACACGCTCAGTGAATGTGAACAGAGAGGGAGGAGGAGGAGGAGGAGGAGGAGGAAGGCTGCTTTGTGTTTAGGACAAAATAAAAGAGATTGTATGATATGTTAAAGCCTTAGTCCAGCTTGTAACTCCAGGTATGAAAATACTTGAGAAAGTTATAGGAGCTTGGCGGTGAACAAGTCTGGTGTTACATTTGTATTTTTGCTCTTTGCTTTTTTTTTTCTCTCCTTGTTTTATGATACATGTAAAATGTGTAGATAACTTTTAACAGAATGTGACAGATTGTTTAAAGATGGGGCTGGGAGAGAAAGAGTACTCTTTACTTCCTGACAGCCCTGGGGGGTGGGGGGAGTGAAGCAGAAATTTTTACCAATAACCTTTAGAGTCTGCCACAAGTGTGTGTTTTGGTTTCCACTGTGGCAGGCAATGACAGAATGGTTCTTGGTAATATTTCAAGGTTTTGACCCGGGGACTGTCAGGATGGACGGGTGTCACCGATGGGAGTGAGCTGTCTAATGTCCTGTACCATTCTTTACCATGCTTCAACTTTATTACTATGATATTTGTGTATATTTTCTGAATCAATAAAAATATACACAGCTTACACAGACTTCTGATTGTATGTTTCAGCTGATTCTAATCATTGTTATATATTATTTGATACTGATTCTACTTTATTTTTCTAATATCTCCACCTCACATACATTTTAGAAGGACATCTAGCCCTTAACGCCTTGAAATTTCATTTTAAACAACCTGTTTATGTATTTAAATCAGGGATGATCCGATCTCAACGATCAGTATCGGCGCCGATCAAGGCTTATTTAACCGATCAGTATCGGCTATATTGAGCTCTAATGACCCGATCCGATCCATTGTTTTAGGTCGACTGCTTTTACTCACATAGCTTTCATGCACGGTGCAGCCATCGTTGAGTGTCTCTGTCCAGCTCTCCACCCTGAGCTCTGTGTGAGTGTGAGAGAGCAGGAGCAGCCCCACCTGCTGCAGAGTTTCACTGCTGCCACACTCAACATGATACTGCAGGAAAACAGAACATCGACGAACAGCTCGGATGCTGGCTTTTTTTTTTCTTGCAGCAATGCAGAACTATTTAATTGTCAAGTATACATTGGATTTATAACTATAAAGAAATAGGCCTACAAGTATCGGATCGGGACTTGGTATCAGCAGATACTCAATATTAAATGACTCGGTTAGGATGAGGGGCTAAAATAAGATGATGGGACATCCCTAATATAAATAGTACTTTGTTTATATATGTAGTCCTATTAACTTGATTTTCTTAAAAAATGTTTTGGGCATTTTAGTTTATTAGACTATTCTAGCCAGGGACATTATGATTACATTTTAGATATCTTGATTTTCATTTACTTTATGGTGTTATAATTCTGCTAGGGTTATTTTATGGTGTTTTATATTGTTACATTGTGTTTCTTTTCTTTTCTTTTCTTAAGAAACGAATCATTGCATCTGCACCATGCAGCAGATTAAAAGTCCTGTCCATGTCATAGCAAGAAAGCCACAGGTGTACAGTAATTAATAACAGTAATAAATTATGGCTGCATTCCATTTAAGTTCCCAAGTTCCAGGGCCCTTGTTCTCTTTGGTATCCTGGTAATGGAATATCTCACTATGTCACTTTAATGGGACCTAGCCATCCTTAATTAATGTTATAAGTTACACCTGTGCTTTTCCTGCAATGACAAGCCAACATGTCAAAAGGTCTGTATAACACCTTTTTATAAAATGGCATTAAGAAAACATATAAAAGAAACACAACATGTACAAAAACAACATACAAAGACACACAAATAGGGTTTTTGAAGGAATAAAAAAATAAAACAGAAGTAGTGCCGTACAAGAGTTCCAAGATAAGCTTAATAAAATGCAGTGTCCTAATTACAAGTTACAATTCTGACTTTATTCAGTGTTTGTAGGTGCCCCAGTTTTATGGATACTAAAATGCTGCAGTGAATGCTCTGTAATGTCATTAAATGCCCCAATAGCAGCTATACTATACAGCCTTGATGGAAAACGTCTATGGAGAGGCCTTCAGTGTCCTTGGAAAAAAACCGGAAAACAAAGTTTAAAGAAGTTTCTAAAGTAGCTCTCACGATTTTAAAGGGGACAATTTAACATAACAAAAACTATGGTGACTACTCGTTGTCCAATGCCCACACACTATGAGTCCACAGTTAGGACGGGAGTGTGTGGGAGCAGCGTTCACCCTCTCTCGTGTCTCCACACATCCACCGCTGCTGGGCCGAGAATAGACGCGCGCATGCTCAGTGTGCTATCAACAAACCCCGCCCCTTTCCGGGTTATTAATGGTAGCCTGTGTGTGATTGGCCGGACGGGCTCGTCCTCCCGGAGTGGGCGGGGCTAATGTGATCCTCAGTTAATCCGACGGGGATCGGTTTGAAATGAGCCGAGAGGAGAAAGAGGAGCGGAGAGGAATGACGGAGTTCACGGGCTTAACTCCAAAAACACGGACTTCAGATTTTAATACGCAGAGAGGAGTACTAGAGGGAGTGTATAGAAGTTGTTTAGCATGAGCGAGAAACTTTAGAGAGTTTTTTGGGGACACGCAGAGAGGTTGACGGGGCAGTCTGAGGGCTCAACATGGATGTCCGGGGAGCAACGGTGCGGCTCTGAGGAGGAATTAAGGCCGTTTCTGGTTATTTCTGTCCGTGAGTTTGTTTGACGGAGTTGAGGAGGATTTTAAAGCTTGCAGCCTATTAACCAGGTGAGCCTAACCTCCAAAACAAGTTATAAACACCTCACACCTCTTTACCAGACTAATAAAGTGTCTCTTTGTCAATTTCAGGCTTCAAATTCAAGTAAATCTGTGAATTGTCGCCACCGTTAGCTAAGGTAAGTCTTTTCAAGCTTCGCCATTTGTGGTTTATTTGTTTGAATATGAGTGTCATTCCCATATTATTCAAATTCCCTGTGTGAGATTTAACGGCAGCAGTACGATAAAAACCACTGTTGTGGAAGTAAAACGTTGAAGCAAAGACAAAAGTGGCAAAACTGAATAAATCCCAGTGTTGCTGTTGTTGTTGCTTCAGCCAGTATGATAATCCAGCCTGGCTGTCACCCATATCATTATTTATTATGAGTTATAAACACACTCTGTCTGCCCCCCCATCACCCCTTTCCATCTGTTGCTCTTTTCCCCATTATTCCACTGTGTGTGTGTGTGTGTGAGAGAGAGAGAGACTGACCTTTTTTGCCTTTCAAATGAAACACACAGATGTCCCTTTGCTCCAGCGCAGCATTTCACTGTCACTTTTATTGTGTCTCTCTGTGTGTGTATGTGTGGCTGCTGATGCCTTCACTTCTCCTTGTTGACATGTGGATCTGCTGATCCCTGGCAAACCAATACAAATGACCTGCTGTGTCTCTCGCTCACACACACACACACACACACACACACACACGGGTTACATATACACACACACAAACAGCGAAAGCATAACTCTTCTCCGTCTCACATACAAAGGCTTGAAAGCAGCCTAATTAATTTTTTCGAACCCCTAAATTCACTTAAGTTTAACGTAATTAGTGTTGTAATGAAGCTAAAGTGTGTGTGTGTAGGAGCATTAGGTCAACCTGTCATTGTGCTGTGTGACTTTTGGTCGCCATGCGGACGAGACATGATGGGAAATGAAGGATACCCTCCCTCAATCTCTCTCTTTCTCACCCAGTGACCATTTTAGTGCTTTCGTCCACTCCTTTATTGTTTATTTTCTCTATTTGTGTCTGAAAATACGTGTGGGTGTACGTATTTTTTATGTGTTTAGCATCAGCCCCCACTCCACCTTCATAACACCAAGGTCTCCGTCTCCCCCAAGCTCAGTCTCATATGCCAACTGTCTGTCAGCGCACAAGAACGAGTGCACCCCGAAAACATATCTGTGTCACCTTGGAGACAGCGATAAGCTGCTGCTTATATAACGTGTCTTCTGGCCACTTTAAGTCCAGTCATCTCATGAAACTGGAAGTGGATAGGGCAGCGTGTATGACGTCTTCTGTTCACGCTGTAGGCTGTTGATTCTTGATTGCAGGAAAAAAATGCTTCAAATGCCATGTTCTGTTGTCAGTCCTGTGAATCAAAGAGCATGTTCTTATAGATCTCACCACCTTGCCCCAATCTTCAGTTATTATACGAGGAGGACTCACTGAAGCTTCAAAATACCAGAATGCTTTGCAGCTAAATGGCATGCTGCTTTCTGTAAGCTTTAAAAACACAGTGTGCCATTAAGCTCATGTGCCCCACCTTAAACCACAGCTGACTTGTCGATGTTTGGGCATGCTATCTGCCAGCCATCAAATGGCATTCTGGGAGATGTAGGAAGAAAAAAAACAGGTTGTTTATAAAGTCCAGCACAGATACCATTGTACAAATGACACACACACACACACACACATCCTTGACTCATTGTGAACTGTCGACCTGCAGTGGGTCTGTGTTTATCCTCTATCTGCCTTCCTATCTCGGATCAATATTCCAGGTTGATGATTACTAGTGCAAATGGATGTTCATACTCCGTAAAAATTGTTTCACAGCATAGTCAATGTTTGAGTTTCTGTGGTTTCTATATGTACACACACACACACACACACACACACACACACACACACACTGACTGCAACTTATATGTCACCTTATTCTGACTCTGTGTCACTTCCAGATGTTGAGGCTCTGGCGGCGAGACGTACCGCTCTCAGAGAGGCTGGGGGAGGACTCTCCTCTAGCCGCAGCACCCGGCCCCCCACCGACCGCGGCCCCGACAGGTCCCAACATTTCATGGCTTCCCGAAGCCCCGCTGCTGAGCCCAGACCAGCCTATCTTCCTCATGACTCCCGCGGCGCAGGCTGTGTCTGGCTTCTTCGTCTGGACCGCGCTCATCCTCACCTGTCACCAGGTAAATGCTTCCAAACAGAGAGGCTGTCCTAATGCTCCACTTGTTGTTTTATTTACCCAGCTACAGATACAGATGTTGAGATTTAACTGAGCAGACTTTGTTTTCTGAAGTTGGTGCCCACAAAGATGTAATCCGGATTTTGCAGGCAGGTGTGCGTGTTGTTTAGTGCACAGGTGACGTGATCCTGCAAACACACACATCTGCTCAGGCCCAGAGAAGGCAGGGGTTGCTTGGCAACACCCCGCGGCAGGTGTTTGTGATACAGAGCACAGTGTGCACAAACAGACACACACAAAGGTGAAACTTGATTCAGATGGATAAAGAGGATGTATGAGATCTGGCTAGGAAAAAAAGAAAAGAAAAAGCTGAATGGAGTCAGAGTTCTCCCTTTTCACACATTCCTTTGAGATGATGTCAGGTAGTGTATTGATTGTGAAGGACAGCAAAGAGACATTAACGATACACATCTGAATTTTCCAAAAAATCTCTATCCACATAATAACAAACAAGTTTATTTTTTAGTGTCCAAGTGCTTACTAAAGCTTGTAAAAGCTGTTCCAGCCTAACTTGTACATTCTCTTGTGTCTTATCTTCCTGTACATGCCCTTTGATACAGATTTACTATTCTACAGCCAAAGTAAGAACAGGGAAGCAGCTTTTTTTACTCATGCCCTAAAGCTGTGGAATATGTTACTACACCATACCCATTATTTTATCCTGACGTAGTGCTGGGGTTTTAAACGCTCTTTAACAACTTATAAAAGGTCAATATTCAATATTCAATCTGTCAATATTTAAAGTGTCTCTTCTGTGTTTCCCAGATCTACATGCACCTACGTTTCTATAGCTCACCTAGGGAGCAGCGTCACATCGTACGCATCCTCTTCATCGTTCCTATCTATGCCTTCGACTCTTGGCTCAGCCTCCTCTTCTTCACCAACGACCAGTACTACGTGTACTTTGACACCGTGAGGGACTGCTACGAGGGTAAGGACATGTTTTCGTCTTTATCCTGTGGAGTTCAGTTTGTTTTGTAACTGCCACCGATTCAGCAGCCGACGAGGGCACGGGCAAAAAAAATCAATGAACTGCTTTGACGGTACGGTACACAAGAAAAGCTCTTGTCTAAAGCTAAAGTCATTGTGGTTGCTCCACAAAATGGCAAAGCCACTTCACATCAGCTATGGTAATAGATTACCATGTTGACTAAATTGTGCTCCCACCCATCATCCACCCAGGCTAAAACTTTGGACTGTGCTCTGATGATACACAAAATGGTCCTGAAGACACATTTAATAGCATTTGTTTTGGTACCACTGATGGATAGAAGTGACTGATTAAATCCTCTTACACCTCATTGTGGACAACATTTTCCAGTTGAGTTGTTGAAAAACATTGTGATCAGATCAGATTGTGACGAACAGATTATTCCGCCCACATGGTGAATGTTTATTTTGCAAGGTGCCCTCTCACCCATATTAGATTCCTGCCTTTCAGTCCAATAAGGAACACGTGTTTATCTGTTCACTCAATTGTGAATAGTCTTGTGGCAGATAAGAAAAAATAAACTTTTTTTAAACATATACTTTTAAAGTAATTATATTATATTATCAAATTCACACATAATATCTATTAGTTGAAACTTTTATAAAACTATAGTACTCCACTGAGATGCTTGAAATGAGCCCAGATATAATACTGGAGGATGTTGGCGATTGATAGGACCGGTGGGACTATTATTTTTTTATTGTGATGATCCCCCAGTCTATTTTGTAATTCCTTTCTTAATACGTGCACTGAATTAAAAGAGTATTTGGACAAGCGCTACTATTCATTATCATTGTTTTTATCCGCGGAGCCTTTTTTGTAAACTACACGTCTCTTGATTTGAGTTAGTGCAAGTGGAATGTAGCGGAGGGGACGTAAACCTGGATCAGTGGCTTCCTGCTATAGAATATGGACTTTGTTTGTTTGTCGGGTCAGAGAAGTTGGAGGAGAGTGGATGGATGACGCAAACAAAACCAATGCTGCTTGATAATTTGGATCCCTGACTATTCTTAAATTTGTGAATTTGGCAGAAAGTGGCGAAACGCAGCTGACTGCCTCCACTCCTCATTCTCCTGAGTCAGCTGTGACGTTCAGGATAGAAATAGTCCGTTCACTGTGAGCCTGGGCGTCACTTCCTGTGTTGGGCGAATCGATGATCTCACATGCATGTGAATGTGAATCGGAGGCAATCTATGTATGGTTCTGCTTTTGACAGGAAGCACTGTCAGTATTGTTGTCGTCGTATCGCTCCCTGAGACAGATGGCTCTCATCCTCCTCCTCCGCCCTTTTCTCCTCCCCATCTCTTGACGCGATGTTCCCTCCCGCCACTGTTTTTTCCACATTTGGACCAAATCTCTTCCAGTTCGTTTCCTCCATCTCCTCCTCTTGTGATCGTCAGCTCCTTCTCCTCTTCCTCCCGTTTCGCCTTCCCTTTGAGCCCCGTCCAGACCTTCTCCTGAGCGAGGATGACCGACCTGTTGCATGGCAACTGCGCTCACAAATCTTCTCCATCAACCAGAATGGCTGCGCCAGATAATGAGTCTCTCTCAACCAAACTTGCTGCAAAGTTCCCATTCTCATTGTATGTAGGCCTACTGTATCACCGTGGCAACTAGCACTGCTGACAGGGGTCCTTGGAGAGAAGTGAAAGAGAATAATGGTAAACAGCTGAGACACCGACAGAGCCACTCAGAGCAGATCAACCAGTCCTCGTCACTCTGTACACTAGTGTTTGTGTTAACGTCAGACAGTGAACGGGCATGTATGGAATCTCTGACATCAGGCAGGATACCACAGGAAGCAGTGACGAAGTTTGAGCGTGTGTGTGTGTGTGTGTGTGTGTGTGTGGGTGGAGTAGGGTTAAAGTGAAAGGAGATTATATCAACTCAGCGGATGGAATAAGAATCACTGCCAGGAGTGCAGCTGCTTTGATATCAGTGTTGTGACACAACAACACACACGCCCAATATATGTCCCACTTTCACACTTTCACAGCTAACTGATATAGACCTGTTACGCTCACTTTATTCTGCCTCACATGCACAGTCACACACACACACACACGTCCCCTCGGTCCCCCCAGAGAGTGTGTGTGCTAACAGGATTAGCATGACTGTGTTTTTTTTATGAGCTTCTTGGTCGTCATCGCCCTCTCCCCGAGGCTGCACAGAGGAGAGATAATCCACTAGTCCGAAGAGACAGTCAGGTGAATATCAGTCCCACAGGGAGAGGTAGGTGTGTGTGTGTTGGTGTGCATTATGTTATGAGTCAGTCCTCTGTGCTTTGTGTTCTTTGTTACATATTCAACAGCAGTTTATTGAATCTGAACCCATTATCACATTTATTTAAGTTTAGCTTTCAAAAGTTTTAAGTAAGAACACAATTAGAACTTAATATTTAATAACTGAAATTCATTCATTTGCGTTTGAAGTTTTATCAGATAATGTGCGCTATTTAGCTAAAGTGCTATGTGCTGTTTTTTGCATTGCTCCTTGCCAGTGGCTCTTTCATGCCCGTACATATAACCGAATCAACAAGTAAACACATGCATGGTTATCAGAGTTTCCAACACATTGAAGAAAGTCTGCACCGTCAGAGGTTTGGCTTATTTCTCACATATTTTCTCAACATACTATAATGACTCTTTGAAGCTTTCACTAGTCACTACGCTGAGAAAGGATTACTGTTTTGTTGTATTTCATGATAAAATAACTAAATAAGACTTAAGAATTAGTTTCCAACACTTGCTGGCCCAGTCTATGGAAACATATAAGTGGCACAATAAAATGTGCTGCTGAAGGTTTATTTGCATCGGTAATGTTTGTAAACACAGTAATAAACTAAAGTGGTTCAAAGTTCGCATGAAGTCCTGTGAAGGCTATTCTTTGCCAACTGCATTATGATTTAGAAGAGAATGTTCAAGATTGGCCTGAAGCAGCCATCCTTCTCAGGTTTGGTCTCCGGCTGGACGTTGGCCTCTTTTGTGTTCTTGGCGGTGTCATTTAGTTTGACTCTTTAACAAGGGGACAATACTCCCGGTCCTGCAGTCTGGACTGAGTCGGGCTGCCAGCTGACATCTGGCTCAGCTTCCTCAGTGTCCGTGATCACAATGCAGAAGCTAAGAACGAATGCTGCAGAACCTCCAGGGCTTTGATGCGCATTACTTGATGTGCATTACTTTATGTGCATTGCTCGAGGCTGATGTACCCTGTGTGCCAAATCAAAGTGTTCAGAGGGAAGCAGTACAGTTGCTGGTTGGACAGCGGTGAGCTGAAACTCACTATAAAACTGTGTAAAATCGAGGGGAGCTGCAGGTTTGCGTGATAATTTCCTGTAGATTCATCAGTACGAACAAGCTCTTTTATCACATTGTTTACACGTCATCATTTGATACATTGCTTGAGAAACCATAGCTCTTTATTTTAATATTTTGGCAGGTAAAATTGATTTTATGCATAATTAGTTTTACTTGACCAACCTTTAGGTGATCATTTTGGACATCATTTTGCATTAATAAATGTAAACTGTTTTAACAGTGAATCAAATGAGGGTGTATAATCTGAGTTTCTGAAACTGATAAGTGGGACAGGAAGTGATGTGTTTGTGTGACTGCTTGGGGGTCTGTGGGTGACTTTGCTATACTTTTTCAGTTTGTGGTATTACAGTTTAAACAGTTTCTCACAGTTCCTGCTACAGTAGTTGTCGTTTGTAGTTGCCGTTGTGCAAAGGATCCACGTGCAGCTTGAATATTTATTTTTTTTAAATAAATGCTGTTAAATCTGACATAGACTACATAAAATATAAATGTATTTGTTACAATAATAACCCATGTGATAATTTGAAGATTATAGTGGACATTTTGACTGGTCACAGCAGGAAAAGCCCAATTGTAAATAATAAAATGAGTGATGGATGAATTCCATTTAGCTGCCTCAGTTTCAGGGTCCGGATCGTGCATGTTGGCTTACTGTCACACTGCCACAATGGGACATTGACTAGAGAGAGTAATCATTAATGTTATTAGTAACAGTTTCCACAGTCAGCTGTGAAAGAGGCCTATTAAGGGCTTTTCAAAGAGATACAGTTATCATAGCACCATAAGCAGTATTTCCTCTAATCTTAAATTTAGTTTTGTCACTGCCAATAAATAGAAAACAACAAATAAAACTGGGGAAAACTGATTGATTTTGAATTTGCTTTATAAATATTTTCTCATGCATACTTATTTGCCCACTCATTTTTGTTCTAAAATGACCACAAGATAAAAAAATCAAGCCAAAAAGTATGTTCTTAAACATCTTGGTGTCCTGTGCAGGCCTACCATTATTATTATTAGAGGAAGTACATAATGTATAGAGATAATAACCAACTCTTTCTCCCATTGTTTCTCCCCAGCGTTTGTGATTTACAACTTCCTGAGTCTGTGCTATGAATACCTGGGAGGAGAGAGCGCCATCATGGCTGAGATCAGAGGGAAACCCATCGAGTAAGTCTCCTATTTCTCCTGTTGATAGACTCTAAAAGGCCTTTAAACAATATTTGTTTCCAACCCAGCATGAAACCAGGGCGTTTAATTAACACATGCTTTTTCATTTAAAGCAATTTATGTGCATATTATCCTGCAAGCTATGCTGCTACAACACTAAATTCCCCACAGATATCAGAGCTGACATTAAGTGTAAACGGGGGGTTTTGTCCCATCAGGTCCAGCTGTATGTACGGTACCTGCTGTCTGAGGGGGAAGGCCTACTCCATCGGCTTCCTGAGGTTCTGTAAGCAGGCCACTCTGCAGTTCTGCGTGGTCAAACCGCTCATGGCAGTCATCACCGTCATCCTGCAGGCCTACGGCAAATACAAGGACGGAGACTTCAAGTAAGTGCTGCTAACAGGGAGGGAGCTAGGAGGTCTGTCAGCTAAGTCTGGAATGACTTTGGGTTAATATATTGCTTTGGACTGGTGGAGCTGGTAATGAAAACATAGGAGTAGTTACATCAACAGCTGCTTTACAATAACATTAAATTCAGTAAAAAAAACAAACCGTCAACTTTGTCCAAATTTAGAGAAAACAGGAAAAAACAGATTAGTCCTTTTAATTTTTTTTATTTAGACTAATTGAATGACCCGGACTTATCCTCACCTCCTCTCTCAATCATTTCATTAATCTCTAATGGGAGATTTAGGATTTTAGCAAGGCCTACAACAGTGGTATTTAACCTTTTTAGAGTCGCGACCCCTCAGAATAACCAGACAGAACAACAACTAATTCATGTTTTTAGATATATTGAAATGATGGCACCGTCACAGTTAACGTATCTGCTTAAGGCCTAAAAGCACGATTACAGATAGAGATACATTCTCATATTACTGAGGTTAACATGTTAACATGTATACAAATAGTATCCACTATATAAAAAGTATATAGAGCTGCTTCCTGTCTCTCATTCTGCGCTGCTTGCCAAATTTTCCACAACCAATTTGGCGACCCCCAGAAATCATGTCGCGACCCCCTGTGGGGTCCCGACCCAACCACTGGCCTACAACAATAATAAACTATGAACCAACGCCACTAAACATCGTTCTCTCTGACTTTTCCTCTCTCAACAGTGTTGCCAGCGGTTACTTGTACGTGACCATCATCTACAACATCTCCGTTAGCTTGTCTCTGTACGCCCTCTTCCTCTTTTACTTCTCCACCAAGGAGCTGCTCAGCCCTTACAGCCCCATGCTCAAGTTCTTGATGGTCAAGTCGGTCATCTTCCTCTCCTTCTGGCAGGGTAGGGATACTGCACATTCTTTTTTATTATTAATATATGTATGTAAAGATTGCTTGTATCCTCAATAAGTACCATTTTATTATTTGTGGTCAGGCATGTTGCTCGCCATCCTGGAGAAGTGCGGGGCCATCCCTCAGATTAACTCGGTGGAGGTGTCTGTCGGCGAGGGGACCGTCGCCGCTGGTTACCAGAACTTTATCATTTGCATCGAGATGTTTTTCGCGGCGCTGGCTCTGCGCCACGCATTCACATACACAGTCTACATGGACAAGAGTCTCGACTCACAAGGTGAGAAAGGGAAGAGGGAAGAAAGAAGGACATTTCCAAGGAATGTTTGGAATCACAGTATAATGTCCAACACCACGCCAGAGTTAACTGGAGTGTACGAACACATTTGATGTCTTAATTAATGTAAAATAATTCTAAAATAGACTTTTACATTATTATTTTCATTTTATATCCATCTCTTCCCCCTCTTATTCTTTTCTTTTCCATTATTTCTCATCTTTAACTTTTTACGCTCTTCTGCCCATCACTCGTGTTTTTATTTGGGTCATTTTCTCCTTTCCTATTTCTACACATCCATCTTTATTCGTCTCTTTTCTTTTCTGCTGCGTCATAAAGGACCTGTTCCTACATATGGAGAGTTTGGTAGGTTAAACACTGATGATGTTTACTCCATGATCCCCCCTTTTTGCTCATGCTGCTGTTTATAGCTAGTTATGTCCTTTCAAGGTGAAGTTAGTTTCTGTTTTGAACGTGATTTGGCTGAGTTTACCTGTAACTGTTGTCTTTTCAGTTATTCTTTCTTCTTGCTCCTGTTCCTAAATCATTCCCATCCTTATTTACTTTTACCTTTTGAACCCTTATCCCCTTTCCATTCCTTCTCTCTAAATCACATCCACCATCCCTGTACAATTGCTCCTTTTTTGCTAATTTCTTTCACCCATTCCCTCCTTCTCCTTCTTGCTGTTTAACACCCTCTAAATCACTGATGTCCCGTTCCTTTCTTCTCAGACTCCTTTCTCCTTCTACTAAATCACTCCTCGTCCCACTCTTCTCTAACTCTCTCTCCTCATCCTTTGCCCCCCCCTTTTCTTTCTTTCACATTCCCTTCCTTCCTCCTCCTCATTTCCTCCCCTCTCCATTTGATTTGCCTCCACATTCCTGCCTTTATCACCATAAATCCATCCTCCTTTAATGCCCCCCCCCCTTTTTTTACCCCTTTCTTTCCTCTTCTTAAATATTTCCCTCTCAGTGCCTCCTACACCTTTCTAAACCCTTTATTTCCTCAGCCCACAGTCCTTTTCTAACCTTTTCCACTTCCTTTAAAAACAGTTTACTCTCTCTTTCACTTCTCCTCCTGACCTCAAACTCTCTCGTCTCGCCCGCCTCCCACAGGCCGCTGTGCCCCCATGAAGAGTATCTCCAGCAGCCTGAAGGAGACCATGAACCCGGGGGACATGGTCCAGGATGCCATCCACAACTTCTCTCCGGCCTACCAGCAGTACACCCAGCAGTCCACGCTGGAGCAGGGGGCCCCGCCGCCCGTCTCCCGCACCCACAGCACCGTCAGTGGCCGCGGTGACACAGAGAAGACTCTCCTGCTCAGCTCCGATGACGAATTCTAGAGCAGAAGATGTCACGATTGCAGCTGAATCGGATTCAGACTGTTTTAACGGCGGATGGTTCTTCATCCTCCTGTGCAGCTTTGTGTGAATGAGAGCTGTGCGTTTGTTTTTTCTGTTTTTGAGACTGAGTGCGAGGACCTTCCTGCAGAAACATCTCTGCTCCCACATTTCCCAGGCGTCTTATTTGGTGGGAACATTTAAAGCTGATTTGGTGTTAAAACCGTCAGCTAGGGAATAAAAAGGGTTGTGTTTGTTTTTGGAAAGTTTGTGAGTCACACTTACTGAATCATACTTGACTTTTGGAACGAAAGTTTTCCGGCTTGGTTAGAAGCTTGATTTCACATTTTAGCTCAGTCGTGTTTCCTTCGCTCAAATGTGTTTCTCCGTGTTAATCGTCTTAATGAACGTTCTGGTTCTGGATTGGTTTGCATCTTGTAGGCCCTGTTGTTTTCTCATTGGCTGTGTTTATCAAGGTTTCCCCATTTAAGTTGAATTTGAATCTTTTTTTCCATGACTTAAAATGAAAAATAGCCTTTGATTTTTATAAAAGTTTAGAACTTTTAATTTTGTGAACTTGAAACTACTATTTAAATATATATATATTAAATGATAGATTTGCAACATTTAAACAAATAACTTGGTCTGCAAATACATTAATGTGCTTCAAAAAGAAGCTGTTTTCAGTATCGTAGCTGTCTTGTGGTACGGTCATAACAATGTGGTACAATGTTATGGAAAATATATTCTGTAAGTGAACGGTACCCTGGTGTAATGTGGGATTTTAAGGGACATCCTTCTTCACTGCAGTGTGGGGATGGATTTAAAGGGAAGCCAAGTAAAAAAAAAATGAGTTAATGTCTGTTATATGGATCAATGTTGGTATTGATATTAGTGGAACAGATGAGAGCGAGGCAGAGCAGATTATAGATTATACAGTACATCTGCTCCTGTAAAGCAGGAGTGAAGGGCAGGAGGAGCAGAGCTGGTCAGGATTACACTGGTGTAATTGGGGCGTTGTTTGAATGGATGGGATTAAATCTCGAACTGGTTCGCTCTGGCAGTAGACCTCTGCAGACCACAATGTAGGTTAACTAGATTGAGGGGAAAACAGAGGAGGAATATAGGTTAAAGCTAACTTTAGATGCCTGTTCTCAATAGAGGACCTCTGTCATACGAATTAAAGCTTTCATCCTCATGGTATACATACATTAGTCCAAATTTTAAGACAGTTCAAGTCACACTGATATGTAACGTTTGCTGCAGTGGGCTGACATCTGAAAGACACTGTTGCTAGGGGACATCCTGTCAACTTCTGTAGTGCACTACTACTAGAGCACATCATAGCTCCGCACAGCTTTGACACTAAACATTTGGGAGGACCCATTGTGCTGTTAAATGAGTAACTGCCTGTGTCCTTGTTGAAACTGAAGTGATCTTACAATCTAGTTTTATTTTAAAAAAAAAACACAAAGGATATATGTATGTCCTGATGTCTTAGCAAAACTTATTTTTAAATGCCATTTCATTTGTTTGAGTAGTTTAATTTCAAAGTAATGCTTTTCAAAACTCCATCCATCTCAAGATCTGACGCTCCCTATCAGCTCCAAGTACTTAAGAATAAGTCAAATCCGTCCAAATCAAGTGAGCTTTCTGCATTTGTCCTGACACGCCCACCGTAGTGATGCCTTCGTCAGGTTTCAGTATTGTAAAGTTTTTGCTTGGAAGGTCTTAAGTCTTCAGCTAAACATGTTTTTGCACATTATACAGTTCTTATCCTGAGCTATGGTATATTTAAAAGCTTAAAAAAAAGAATCACAAGCTGAATATTAGCACCACAATATGAGTACACATACTCTGTACACCATGTTATCATCTTATGCATTTACAATATGTTACAGTCAATATTCTCTCAGTTAGAAATAACATGTAAGGCATTAACTTCACATTGTTTCTTTGACTTGGATGCTCTTCTGTTCTTCCAGGCAGACTTTTTTTCTGTGTGTGTGTGTGTGTGTTGGATTGAACTTAACCGCAGTCAGAGCTGGTTTATTTTTTTCACATAATTGAAGTTCTTGAGTCATCGGAATGAGTCATACTGAGTCTGCCGATGTGTTTACTGTAACTACTTTCACTGCTCTGCTGTAGCTCTGCACGGACACCAGGGGGCCGTGTGGAGAACACTTGAACACTTTCACACTTTTATCTACAAGCAGACGGGGCAGTTATCACACACTTTAAGCCTGGTGCACATTTAACTGAAAAAATGCTTTGTCTAAGCACAAGTCCTTTGCAGTTTTGTCCGTTTGTTCTTCGGGAAGTAGAGGCAAACCCCAGCCTCAGACAGTGGTCGTGGGTGTTTTCTTTTTTTTTTAGTTCTGCTCCTGCCTGACATAATATTGGTTTTAAACAGGAGAGCAGCCACGTCTGTGCACAGGAGCCTATTTTTAGACATTACTGGGTGTTGTCTGGGTAATTGAGTTGCTACTTTTTTTAACACAGATACAAACTGGATTATTTTGACCATGACTGAGCTTCGTCCAGCTACAAATGACCCTGCAATCTTTTCTAAAAGCACTGGTCTGTTTGTTGCGTTGTGCACACCGTTTCTTGTCTGTATAAATGCATTTTCATGTTGAACCAACCGTGAATGGACAACATAGGCGTCTGAATGACAGCGCAGATATTTTTAGGTTGAAGAAGTCTTTTGTGCTTCTTTAAAAAAAAAAATCCTCTGAATTGTCTTATGAGCGTGATGACACTCAAACTGATGCATTTGTTTTGTCGTACTACAGCTTCTAAAGGCACATTCCCATGCCTGATATTATAATTGTTGTACCGCACCTTGAATGCCATAATTTACTTTCAAGCTAAAGACACAAGTCATCCTGTTTCTCTTCGTTCTTTGTTATTTGGTGAGACAAATGACATGTTCTCATCAGATTATGAATATAACTGAGGAAATTCTGTGGACTAATGTTGTAAATACAGGTTAAAGTGCTGTCTACAGGAGGGGTAGTAGTGATGTATGTTGAAATATTCATGTATGCTGTAAAGGTTGAGCAGAGGAGAAAAAAGACCTAGTTTTGTATTTTTACTTCACGACTGTCTTTTTTTTATTTCAATGACTGTTTTTTTTTGATTTTCTGTTCTATGATAAAGCTGCTCATGATGCTTCTATTTCATGTCAAATGGATCTGAAGAAATAAAAGATATTTAGTCTGATATGTAAGTTAACTGCTTGTTTTGGTTTTGATTTGGGGGAGGGGTTGTGATATATATTTTAAAAAGCCACAGTAGGTAAACCATTTAAAGATTCCCTCCAGACACGTTTTAAGACATCAACACGGCTATACATAACTTTTCTGATAGTATTATTCCATAAAAAAGTGCAACTAACTGGTTAAAAATGCTGATAACTGCATCTACTCCTCCCACACAAGATGTCTCATACTTTCCGGAGAGGTTTCACGTTCCACGTCACATTGTGAAAGTTACATGAACTATAATTGACTTTAAAACTAATTTTGGGCCAAAATCCTACTGGTACTGACTCATCTTCAACTGAGATTTAAAGGTGGAGCAAAATCCACCAGAGGAACGTAAAGACAGACTTTTAGGACATAGTGATGGCCAAACATGAAGTGAATAAACCAGAAACAAAACATATGAGTGGAATTGATGTATATTCGTTATCATACCATTCATGGTACCATAACCTGCCACAATAGGGATGTCTAATAGTCTAAAGATCTAAAATCGTATCACCAATACTCGATTTTGAATAGATTACCTTTGTGTAAATACAGCAATCTTATTAAATATATAAGTGTAAAAGGCTGTATTTAAAGATGTTGAAATGTTTAATGAAAATACTGCCACTGTGAAGAACAGTACTTTTTTGTGCTATAAGATATAATCTCATTGTTAATCCTCTGCTGCTGTCAAAATGAATAACAAAATGAGGCCTAGCATTAAACAGTGTTAGACATGCATGTCATCCATACACTGTAACAACAACTAGGCCACAGCTAAAATAGCCCTGACAGATTCAGCAGAGATGAAGTAAACATCAGCAGTGTGCTGCTGTGTGAGTCAGCATTATTTTGTCTCTAAGGTGTATCAGAGCATGACTTTGTGAATTGGTCACATTATGAGGAATAATGCTTCTCACATGAAAACAAATACACGCAAGTAAAATGACTTATATTCTCACAACATTTCATCCTTGGTCATAAACGTAATACTTCCTACTACGTCGACTTTATCTTCTGATCCGGAGATATAACTTGTGCAACACATCCTGTAGATCCGCTTCCTTTCTGTGCCACATGTGTACATCTAGTGTTCCAATCCAGCCCACAACCACACACACACCATTTTATGTACAATATGTACAACATTTATTATAATTAATATATAAAATAGACAATGTACTTAAATTTTCACAATAGAAAAAATACAAGTAATAAATACAAAAACCATTTTTGTTTTGCAAGTATAACAAAACATCCAGCACAGTTTGACAGGTGTGAGACGTTAAAATATTGAGAATAAATGCTTTGCCACACTGATATTCATATAGCTAAATATATGCCTCATATCTTTAGGAGTTATTTGTCAACACGGTCTAATGGGTTACAATGCCTGCTTATAAATGATATTGCTAGCACTATTCAGTGGCCTAGACTCCACGAAATCCAAGCCTGTCTGAGCACGTCGTGACTGAAACAGGCTCGAGACTGATGGAAGTTTTCAAGTGAATAAAGCACCACCTCATTCCACCTTCTTTCCCCGTCTGCCTTGCCTTACTTTCTTTCTCCATCCATCCATCAACAACTCCTCAACCTTCTTGTCTCCTCCTCATCTCCATCTTTCTTTCCACATATTCCGTTTTCCTTTAACATCCCGTGGATCTGCCCGACCAGCCAATTCAGAAGCGACCTCAATTTGTTTTCACACAAATAACATACAAATCATCATAGAAAAATAATATCCCTCCAAGAATCCACTATGACAAGCCAGTACAAACATGGCAAAAAAACACACACACAAGAATCATCATACAGCAATATGGCCATTGGCTTTGAGCATAATTCTACATAGCTAATAATTAACATTTTGTAAAGTAATCATTGTTGCCACACAACACAATAATTAGACGTGAGAATATCCCCAGACTAGTCATAAGTAAGTACTTCTGAAAACATATAGAACATCACAGCACTCGTTAGCTTGTCTTTTCATAATATCTACCTTTAAATACAAATAAAATATAGAATATATCTCTGATAAATGTCACTCAACATTTTCGTCTCTCAACGGCACATACAAACAAATACAAATAAGAACACAGAACGGGAATGTATGCAGAGGATTTGCATCGACTTGAGTGTAATTCCTACCAGATGCGACTCTGCTTTTACACGTTTTTAGCAAAATGACCAACATCTGCAGTTGGGAGTCTACCAGATATGAAAAAAGAGGAAGCCACAGCAGACTGTAGCAAAAGTTACTGCACAGTAGGGATCGTGAAATGAGAAATGATGGATTATAGCTCAGACAAAACAAAACAAAAAAATAAAGAATCCAGAGAAATCCTAAACAAAGAAATGTGCGGTCATGAACAGTCGAGAAGGAGCGATTACAGTCTTTTTGAACCTTTTCCCCTCTTGGGTTTGCATTCTTGGAACTCCAACATACACTGAAGGCACTGCATCCATGTGAGAAATGTGTACACAAGCAGTACAAAACTACTTTTTTACCCTCACATGGATGGGTAGAACAGGTAGGGAGGGAGCAGTGGCAGGTGGATACAAAATCTTGGAGATTTGAAGACGGGAATGGACAGATTGAAGGAACTCGTGATTCACAAATGCGGCGTTGCTCAAGCTTTTTTTTTCTGGACTGTGTGACCATTTCTGTTCCTAAAATCCTCAAGTCCCAAACAGTTAGAGAGCTGTCAAGTGAGTACGGCATACTGTTACCGGAAGCTTCAAATTGATCATATAGAAATTATCCTTTGAAACGATTAAACAAAAGACCCCAAAAAAGCCACTCTCTATCAGCTTTAGAAAACTCTCGTGACCCTGCCTGCGTATCGGGTTGAGAAACTCTTCATTAATGACTAACAAAGGTGACTCTTTGGGACTCTGCTTTGGGACACTTTTCTTGCACAGTAGCAGAGACGCATGGGCTGGTATAAGAAACAGCAAGTAACTTCAGACTACAACTGTACCGGGAATGCAGCCATTGTAGAGCTGGAGGAAGCTACACACACACACACACACACAGGTCTGCTCCACCCTGGCCTTTATGCTGTTGGTCAGGTGCCATGAAAACTGAACAGAGAGAAGCCTTTCTGCAGCACAGTCAGAGGAGGAGCAGCGTGAACATGTACAGTAACTCTAGGATGGTCTGTTTTCAGTCAGAGTCCAGTTAGTCAAAGTCTACGCCCCACATGGATCGGGAGGGGGGGGGGTGTGTGAGCGTGAGGGGTTTTGTGCGTGTGTGTGTGTGCGCGCCATGACGCCTCATTCATATTAAACCCGCTGACTCTTTCTCAACAAAGTTCTAAACTTTGAGAGCTTCTAAACAAATACACTAAATACTAGATTTCAGTAAACTAAAACTGCAGTGTCATGAAATAGCATTAAGTAGAGGACACCTCCACCCGTCCTAGATGATGTTTCAACTGTTCCTGGCCGCTGCTTTGGAAAAGTGTAGCTGTTGTCCGTACGGTGACGTTACACGCCGCCCTGTC